GCCTCGGCCTCCCAGAGAGCTAGGATTACAGGCGTGAGCCACCGCGCCCGGCCCAAAACTAAGTTTTTTTAAAAAGCCATTTTTCAATCCTATGGATCAATAAAAAACACACTGGTTCTAGAATGAAACAAAAACAATGCCATACTGATTTTCTAAAGGAGGCAAAATGTTTATTTAATAAAATACTTTCTGCAATAAGAACTTGAGTAACTGAAAATCACACTTCTAAAATACTCTATATTTTCTTTCAATAATCTCTTACTTAGGTTACTATCTAATTTTTAAAATCTCTTGTGAAATACAACAGGTACAGGTCTCACTCTCTTACAGCAGCAGTGGGAAGAACTATTAATATAATTTCTCCAATATATTTCCAGAAAAAAAAAATCTCTTGTAAAGAATGTTATATAAATAATGAGAGAAACAGATGAAGAGTCTGACTCAAATCCAAAGAATACTTACTTAGAGGGAGTTAATTGAACACAATAGACTATGGAGACCTTGATAGTGAACATATCCAAGTACTGTGCAAAGTAAAAGCCTGCCTAAACTTTGTCTCTTTAAGAAATTGTAAGGCCCAAATTCACACAAGTAGGTTTGGGACAGAGAAGAATCAGTGTTCTTAGCATGATAACAACATGAATGATTTCATTTCCACCAGAAACTATTTTTGGCCTTTTCTATTTACCTGCCACACTGCTATTCCTCTGACGTGCCAACTTGACCTCTGGACACTCCCTTCGTACGTGTCCTGCATCTCCACATATAAAACATCTAAGGTCTCTGGGGTCTCTAAAGTCTCGAGTGTCGTGGAGGTCTCGTGGGTCAAGGTCTCGGGAGTCTTTCTCCTCTTCATTCCCTTCCTTCTCTTCTTCACTGTCTTTCTTCTTTAGTCTAAAGAGTAAACTGCTGATACCAATAATGTGGGGCTAGGGACTTTGTAAACTGAGTAACAGAACAAACTAAACTATACAAGAGTCTCACAATAACAAAGGGACTAACATGCCCACTATGTCATGCATCTTTTTTAAGGCAAGGAAACTCACATTTATAGCACACCTACTTATTTGACAGAAACTGGGTATTCCAGTAGTTTTGTAATACAATATATTTTAAATTTATTAATATCAAATTTTGAACCTCTAATAATCCTTAGAGGTTGATATTTATTATCTCATTTTAAAGAAGCAACTGAGGCTTAGGGAAGATAAGTGCCTTACCTAAATTTATTCGTCAGTAAACAGCAGTGATGAAAACTAGGAGTTTGTTCTGTCTGAAAAGTTCCAAGTTTTTCTATTAAGCCAGACTTGATGACAAAAAGATGGGACTTTCCTGACCTATTAAATATAGGATGTAGAACCCAGAAGAGTATGATCCATAGATATATTTTGAGGAGGAATAAAAGATATATATTCCTCAAGGTATATAATATATATATACGTATAGCTCATAGCATTTATCTCAAGGATTCAGTTGATTATATTTTAATTATTGGTTTGCATGACTGATGTCCTCAGCAAGAACTCCATGTCTTGGTCATTTTTTTTTCTTAGCTCCTAACACAGTTCCCAACACACAGTAGGTGGCAATAAATGCTTCTTCAATTAAAAAAAATGAATTAATGAATGAAAAAAATAAATGTTACAGGACAATATTATACCACAAACAAATTTCACTCTATTACGAAATTCCACTGAAATGAACATTTACCTTAGTCCAATTTAAAGCCCTGAACTTTCTCACTTAAACATTTCTGAACACAACTGCAGCTACAAATTTGCCTCACATTTATTTTCCCTGTAATGTTGACATGTAATCATTTGCCAACCTTTTCCTTTTAGGGCAGTCTTTCATGTAGTGGCCTATTTTTCCGCACACACGGCAACATCGATCATTGGGAGCCAGTTCTCCATCTGTCAGTACTCTCGAATCAAAGAAGTATTCCTAGGGAGAAAATGTAATTTTACTATTAGTAGAAAAAAAATCACTATAAAACTTTTGAATCCAAATGGAAAGGAGACCAAGATGCAAACGTGGTTTAAAAAAAAAAGGAAATAAATATCACTGTAACCAAACCATGACATGAAAATAAGATTGAGAATCATCATAATAGTACTAATCACTTTATAACCACATTATATTATACAGAAATACTACAGATGAATGAGAAAATCTCAATAAAATAGATACTATTTTCATTCTCATTTTATAAATGAGGAAACTGAGTTTCAGAGAGTTCAAGTCATCTGCCATAGTATAATAAAAAATAAAAAAACAGGTTCATACATAACCTAAACATTTGTACCCCCATAATATGCTGAAATAAAAAAAAAAAAAACCAGGTTAAGTCTCTGACAAAAGATTGAGAGCTAAGTCTGACTACAAAGCTCATGCTTTCTGCTACACCAGGCCACTTCTGGAAAAGAATTATTCTCTGTTAAAAAGAGTTTTATGTCAATAAAATAATCCTGCTGGATGTGGTGGCGCCCAACCGTAGTTCCAGCTACTTGGAAGGCTGAGGTGGGAGGATCACTTGAGGCCAGGAGTTTGAGGCAAGGCTGTAGTGTGCTATGATCATGCCTGGGAATAGCCATTACACTCCAGCCTGGGCAACATAGTGACACCTCATCTCGAAAATTTAAAAAAATAAAAGTAAATTAAAAAAATAAAGCAATCATCTGGTTTATTTCAAATATGATTGAATTTGCATATAGCTTTTTAGAAGATAAAACTTTTTTTTGAAACAGAGTCTCACTCTGTCACCCTGGCTAGGGTGCAGTGGCGTCATGAGAGCTCACTGCAGCCTCAAACTCCTTGGCTCAAGCAATCCTCCTGCCTAAGCCTCCTCAGTAGCTGGGACTACAGGCATGCACCACCACGCCTGGCTAATTTTTTCTGTTTTTAGTAGAGACAGGGTTTCGCTCTTGCTCAGGCTGGTCTTGAACGCCTGACCTCAAGTGATCCTCCCTCCTCGGCCTCCCAGAGTGCTAGCATTACAGGCATGAGCCACCGTGCCCAGCAATAAAACATTTCTTATATAAAGTGGAGCAGACCCAAAGAGAAGATAGGAAACTAGTAAGAAGTAAATAATTTTCCCAACTCTTGGAACCAGGCTCATTTTTGCTTTATCTTAGCACCTTGCTTATTCTTCTAAGCCTTAGCTCAGTTTTGCATTGTCACAAAGGCTGTTGGTCCTAACAGTATCCATCCTACTGGAAGGCAAGAGAACATGTCCATTTAGCTGTCTTCAAATCTATCTACAGCTATAATCTTCAAATCTATCTATGGCTATAATTTAAAAAGACAGTAACAAGTTATTGGCAAAAATATGGAAAAACTGGAACCCACACATATTGCTAGTGAGAATGTCAACTAGCATAGCCACTTTAAAAAACAGTACCACAATTCCTCAAAAATTTAAAGATAAAATTTATCAAAATGATGTAGCAATTCCACTATTAGGTACATATCAAGAGAAATGAAAATATACAGTCACACAAAAATTTGTAAACAGACATTCACATCACCATTATTCATAATAGCCAAAAAGCAGAAACAACCCAAATATCCAATAACTGATGAATGGATAATAAAACGTGGTATATCAATACAATGGAATATTATTTGGCCATAAAAAGGAATGAAGTACTGATAATGTGCTTCCGCATGGATAAACCTTGAAAATATTATGCTAAGTAAAAGAAGCCAGTTCTAAAAGGCTACATATTATATGATTCCATTTATATTAAATGTCCAGTACAGACAAATCTATAAAGACAAAAAAGTAGATTAGTAGTTTGGGAAGAAGGGAAAAGAGAGAATAAAGATTGCCTGCTAACGGGGACAGGGGTTTCTTCTGGAGAAGACGAAAATGTTTTAAAGGTAAATTGTGGTGATGGTTGCATAATCCTTTGACTATACTAAAAGTCACTGAATTGTACATTATGTGAATTACATTATGTACATTATGTCAATAAAGCTGCTTTTTAAAAAAAGATGAGAGAGATAGTTCTTCACATATACTATTGATAAACCAGTGTAGCTAATTAAAATTATCATCCTATTTTCTGCCAGGACAAAATAAAGGCCTTTCTCAACTCGCCCAGATGCTTAAGGCAGAAATCAAGGAATCATCCTGAACTTATTCTTCGTCACTTATCACCTGTAAGTAATCACTAAGTTGTATCTATTCCATTCCTGAAAACATCTCTTGAATCTACTTTTCTCTATTCCACAATCCCAGTTAAGGTGGCCTAGATCTGAGGTTGGCAAACTTTTCTATAAAGAGCCAGGAAGTAAGTATTTTAGGTACTGGGGCAAAATTGAAGGTGTAATATAGGTATTTAGATAGCAAGAAATTTCCATAAAACTAAGTATTGAAGAAATCAGAAATATGCTAATAGTAATAATTGTATATAATTTTTTGTAATATAAGTTTACTAATGAGAAGAATGCAATTCTTTTTTGGGGAGATAACAGTTCACTTAATTGGGGTTAAAGTTAGTGTTCCCTATAATTAAAACTGATGGTCAATGTTCATCTATAAATGCTGATCTGCAATTACATTTTATGTATTTCATCTTTGAAAATGTTTTCACATGATACTAAGTAACTCAGGAACAAAAAACCAGATATCACATGTTTTCACTTATTAGTGGGAGCTAAGCTGTAGGTAAGCAGGGGCATACAGAATGGTACAATGGCCACTGGAGACTCAAAAGCAGGGAAGGTGGATGGGGGATGAGGGAAGAAAAATTACCTGTTAGGTACAATGTATTGCACACTGTTCGGGCGACAGGTACACTAAAAGCCCAGACATCAGCACTAAACAATTCATCCATGTAACCAAAAAAACCACTTGTACCCCCTAAATCTATTGGGAAAAAAACAAAATATCGCATGTATCCTATAAATATGCACAACTATTATGTATCCATAAAAATTGTTTAAAAATTTTTTTAAAAAGTTGTTTTCACAGATGAAGCGGTTGAAGATTCAGAGTAGAGATCCAGAGTGCATACGAAGGACTAAGTCTTTGATAAAAGAAAGATCTGCAGATGCAGACAGGTTTATAGATCTGGTGGCAGAAAGTTGAAGGAATATTTATCTGGTAGTATCTATTATCTTAGAGTTAAAGGATCTACTAAGAGTGAAGAGGGCGGAAGTAAAAAGTGGGACCCAAGTACAGGCACATGGTAGGTGGCTGAATTCATGTAAGGTTGAACACATAATAGTGCACAGGAGGGAGAGCGGCACAAAGGAATCTAAATTATATGCCAGAGAATAGACAGGGAATATAAGTCAAATAGAGCAGGAAAATGAATAAAGAAAATACCTGACGAATAGGGACAAAAGGGGTCAACATATGTGAGGACCTAATTGATGTAAAAGAATAGTTGAAGTGGGAATATTTGAGGGAACAAGAAAAGTGAAAGAATAGGAAATATACTTCTCTTTATCTTTCATTAGTGAAAGGGAATAAAACACATCTATCTTGTATGCTTTTATAATCCCAGTACCTATGAGTGAAATGGGTATGAAGTATAAACATGAAAGACTATGTACAAGAATATTTTCTACAATACAGGTTAAGTATCCCTTATCCAAAATGCTTGGATCAGAAGTGTTTTGGAGTTTCTATTTTTTTAGATTTTGGAATATATGCATTATACCTTCTGCTTGAGTATCCCACATCTGAAAATCCAAAATCTGAAATGCTCCAATAAGCATTTCCTTTGAATGTCATGCCAGCACCCAAAAAGTTTTAGATTTTGGAGTATTTCAGATTTCAGATTTGGGAAGCTCAACCTGTACAAGTTATAACACTGATATAATGACGATAACCTAAATGTCCATCAAAGGAAAACAGTTAAATGAACTAGTATATTCAAGCTATGGAATACTGAACAATGACTTTTAAAAGAGAATAAAGTAGATCAAAAAATCATTAGCAGGCTCATCGGTCCCTTCTCCTGGGCCCCAAATGACATTCAAGACCAAAGACTTTGATATCTATATGTAATTGAGGACTACTTATTATAACATATTGAGTTATTAAGGATTATGGAATATTTGTACTCATAAACTAAAATTAGCACATTTCCATTTACTGAGGGCTCTGATTCAGGATTCTACTAAAAAGTCTGACTGCATGCAACATTACTGGGTTCCTACTGAACATATGCACATATACACAAAAACAGTTGGAATTCCCACAATTTTCAGGTAAAATGCTTTATCAGTATATCAACATATTTGTTTTTATCTGACTCTGCTTTTCATTTATTGCTATTTCAATTAACATGTTTGTAAAATTATTTAGGTTTTCCTTTTTTAGTCATTTTGTTCTAACATGGTTTTTGTGCTGTTTCAAATTTTACTGTTATTTTATTTCTCTCCATTATAATTACTAACACCTAGAAAATCAAAAATATCTGAGAACCAGTGCTCCAAAGGAAAAAAGATCCAGACTTTTCTCTGCTTTTCTCAGCCCCCAAGAAAGAAGAGTCCTGAAAATGTACTGAATTGAGTTTAAGGACATTCATTATACAACAGTAAACACATGGCTTTTCTTTCTCTCTCTCGAGATTTCTTCTCTTAGAAGTCTCTTGCTCTGAAACAGAGACCTCCTATAGTCTTCCTAACCATCAGAAAAGCAAGCAAAAACCAGAGTGAGATCAAGGAGAATGTGTGACAATATGCCACCCCATTCAGGCCAAAAGGAAACCTCTCAGTTCCGTGCCATCTAATTCAGCTCACCAATGCTACACAAAAATTAGAGAATAATTTATAATAATAATAAAAGTATTTTATTAAATAATAAAGTATTTCTCTGGTTTTTGTCTTCTCTGTGTCTATTTTCTTTTTTTTTTTTTTTGGAGACAGAGTCTCACTCTGTTGCCTGGGCTAGAGTGCCATGGCATCAGCCTAGCTCACAGCAACCTCAAACTCCTGGGCTTAAGTAATCCTTCTGCCTCAGCCTCCCAAGTAGCTGGGACTACAGGCGTGCGCCACCCATGCCTGGCTAATTTTTTCTATATATTTTTAGTTGTCCAGATAATTTCTTTCTATTGTTTGGTAGAGACGAGGTCTCGCTCTTGCTCAGGTTGGTCTCAAACTCCTGACCTTAAGCGATCCTCCCACCTCGGCCTCCCAGAGTGCTAGGATTATAGGCGTGAGCCACCTCACCCAGCCTCTGTGTATGTTTTCATCAAGATTTCTAGAGATGCAATAGGGACAGTGAGCAGCACCTAAAATTCAACAATCCTGAGTCTTGAATCTACTCTCACTCATTCAACAAATCCTTATTTTACATAACCAATGCTCCAGACACTATGATATGAACTGAAGATATAAAAGTAAACCTTATGAACATGGATCCTGCCCTCAGGGAGCTCACAGTCTAGTGGGGGAGACTGAATTTAACAAATAAACAAAGAAAATCTAATAAAAATGTATCTCATTATGGACTATGAATGCAGTAAGAAAAAATATAGGGAGCTATGACCATCTTTTTCCCTAACGTCAACTTGGAAACTGGATAAAGTTCCTTGTACCATAAAAAAAAAAAGTTCTATAAGAAAAAGAAAAAGATTCAGAATTCAAATAATGTAAACTTACAGCTTCTCTGCCAATGAGTGGATAAAAAGGGGTACCAAAAAGTTTCCTTCCATTGATAAATGCCTTCATGATGAAATTGGTCACTATTAAAGAAAGAAGAAAACAAAAAAGATGCAGACATTAGTGTGCCAGAGCTTTAAAAGGAGGTAATCTCTATATTTAATACTTACTTTTTCTAGAAACTCCAGCACCAAGGTTATGATTCAAGTCAAAAGGATCTGGAAAAGAAGTATATGATTTTTTAAATAAAGAATTTTGTTCATTGTAAAATATAATATACTTAGTAATCATAACTGGAGTCTAATACTATATCCACTGACTCAGACTATCCAAATCAGCAAGTTATTCTTTTAAAATTATAGACTAAGGGATGAAAACTGATAAAAATCAAGAGGAAGAAAGCCAGGCATAGTGGCATGCGCCTGTATTGTAGTCCCACCTACTCAGGAGGCTGAGGTAGGAGGATTGCTTGAGTCCAGGAGTTCAAGTCCAGCAGGGGGAATATAGCAAGATCCCATCTCTAAATAGTAAAAATTTAAAAAAATTTTTAAATAAAATCAAGAGGAAGAATGTTCCAAATCCTAATGTGTTCCAGTTTTCTCCTAAATGTCATTGGCCAAATTTTAGTTTTGTTCCTGAATTAATATCAGCTTAAATGATTACCTTCAATCGCAATGCACTTGGATGTCCATTGCTTCTCGAAAGTCGTTAATAGCTTTTTCTGCCGAATGCTAATTACATACTCCTTGAAATCAAACTCTTCAGTATAGAAGCGAAGCAGTCCCAACCAAAGCTCTCCTAATGATTCTGTGTTCTTTCCAAGTGAAGGTAAACGTTTTTTCTACAAATAAGTAAAAAAGAAAAGAGAAACAACTATACAGTATCATCCAAAATATGAACAGCAAATCCAAGTAAAATTATTAAATTATGCAAATCCTAAACAAGTTATCAGTGGGCATTATGTAACATAAAGACTATTTAAAAATTACCAGTTCTTCTGTTTTATCAAAGAAAAAAGCATTCCATCCATCAACCATTCTCTGTGGAATCTGTTTTCCATCAAAGATCTGCACAAAGAAATGTAATTGCATTATTAGATTTCAAGTTATCCAACCCAAAGGCCCAAATACTCTTATACCATTTTATAATTTACCTATAAAAGACATACTGAAATACTTCTTCCAAAAACAACAAGTCAGGATGGTATAATTTGATGCCAAGTAATTAATGAATAAAATGTATCTGAAAGACCAAAGCTGGAAAAGGATATCTTAAAGAGCATCAGACTCCAAATGACATATTTGATGTTATTTGATGTTACCTACTTGGCCTATCAAAACACATCCAGTCCAAGATTAATGAAGCAAAACTAAAAAAAAAGAAAACGAAAATGGCAGTTTCATCAAAGGATCACAGATGTACAAATATACAATAGATAATACCTATTGATTGTGTACCCACAGGAAATCAACAGACCTGTTTTGATTTTAGTACATTTAATCATTTATCTGTATCAGATAAGGCTGAAAAGCACTTGGACATTGATATTTTAATGGAAAATTAGGTAGCTTTCCCTGACATCTTGATAAAGATTATAAATTTTCATTATTAATTACGAGTAATACATAATTCACTGTCCTAGGGACAGAAGGGAAAAGGGAGGGGAAAAGAAATGCTATTTTACAAGAAAAAAAGTATCCCAAAAGATGATTGCATAGGCACAACTGACCTTCACAAGTAATTCTGAGACTTTTATTCTAAAGGAGGTTTAAGAAAGAGATGCAATAAAGTAGAAAGGTACAATAGGTTCACAGTCGGAAGACCTTATTTCTGGCCTCAGTCCTGTAAAATAGTGATTCTGGGCAAAACAATTATCCTTCTAAGTCCTCAGTTTTCTCAGTGAAAATGAGAGATTGCATAAATTAGTCAGTAGTTTACAAATTTTATTTTTAAGGTATAGAACCCTTTCCTAAAATGGAATTTTCTTGGAAGCTCAATATGTAAAACAAATAAAAACAGAGGCACTCTAAGAGAAGCCTGTGTGGAGAAAACATACCACACCTTTTCTTTATGCAGCTCTCCCTCTTTCCCCAAACACATGCAAGCACAAACACACACACACACACACACACATCTCAATGGGTGCCAGGGTACAGTTAAACCAGAGTACAATTTAAAACTACGAGATAAGACAGGCGCCATGGCCCTTTTCGTTTTTGATGGGATAGTAATTTGCAAAATTAACTACATGTCTAACCCCTCCAACTTCATTCTCAGGTTTAAAGTCCTTGTGGGTCAGGACTATAGGTTATATCTGGAGCCCCAAACCCTACTAGATAAAAGCTTGCCATATAGAGAATATTTAATATATGTTGAATTAATATATTTACTCTGTAAGTATGTTATATAAAGATCAAGTTTCCAGGGACTTAAGGTAATAAGTTGCTTTTTGTATTTACATATAACTTAAACAAATATAGTTACCAAAAGTCATCTAGCATAAGTTCTGACAATTCATAAAACATAAAAGTGAAAGACTGGTAATTACATATATTAATATCTAAAACAAAAGACATGGGATCCTGCCCTCAAGACAGAAGGGAAAGTATTAAAAGGCTGAAATATAATATTTTACCCTTAACCATCCTGTTCTTGGGGTAGCACTACTGTCCAATGAATAAGTAGCAAGGGCAGTACTGCTAACGCCTACACAACACGCTCACATCAACTAGAGCTTTGTTTTACTTTGGTGCAATTTTTGGAAAAAAGAAAAATCTCTTTTCCACCAAAAAAAAAAAAAAAAAATTTTACCCTTAAAGATTGAGATGCTATTATAGGTATTCCATGCTTTATAAAATGGATTTATTTATTTGCCAGATATTGAAATAATATAAGCTACTCTTTAGACCTTGATTGTTTTTAAGAGAATTTGTTCTTCTGAGTAACAACCATGATCCAACTCTTTAGACCTTGATTTTTTTTTTTTTTTTTTTTTTAATAGAGTCTTGCTCCATTGCCCAGGCTAGAGTGCGGTAGTGCAATTGTAGCTCACTGCAACCCTGAACTCCTGGGCTCAAGTGATCCTCCTGCCTAAGCCTCCCAAGTAGCTAGGACTATAGGAGTGCACCACCACACAGGGCTAATTTTTTTTATTTTTTAGAGAGACAGGGTCTTGCTATGTTGCCCAGGCTGGTCTCAAATTCATGGCCTCAAGCAATCCTCCTGCCTAAGCCTTCCAGAGCACTAGGATTACAGGTGTGAGTCACCATGCCCAGGCTAGACCTTGATTCTTTTAGGAGAATTCTAACCTTCGAGTAACATCCATGATCCAACACAACTATGTTGTCTGGTAACACAGCAGATAGATCTGTGGGCTTTGAAAAATTAACTAGTCACTCATTTTGTCTGTTCTTTTGAACTCTTATGTTTCACTGTACCTAATTCTCCACTCTGTTTCAGCCCCCGGAAGTACTCACTAATACTATTTCCTCCCTCCCTCCCTTTCTCCCTCCCTCTCTCTCTCTCTCTCTCTCTCTCTCTCACACACACACACACACACACACACACACACACACAAAATCTCTCAATCTCTTTCTCTCTCTCTCTCTGCTCTTTCACTCAACACTAATCATCCTACACTCAGCACTTAATCCTCCCTTTGAAGCCTCATCAAACAAATCAATCATATTTATATAAGAAGTGACCCACTTCCATATTTATTTCCTTAATTTATTGTAATATTTTAACATCTATCGCTACATTTAATTGTAATTTTTTTCATTGTGGTAAAATATACATAACATAAAATTTGCCCTCTTTAAGTGTACAATTCAGTGACATTAAATATATTTATATTATTGTGTTGCCATCACCACCATCCGTGCACAGAATTCTTTTCATCTTGCAAAACTAAAACACTTTATAGTACCTATTAAACTATAATCTCCTATTCCTCCCTCCTCGCCTAGTACCTGGCAACCACCATTCGACTTTCTTTCCTTATGAATTTGACTTTTCTAGGTAGTTTGTATAAACAGAATCAAAGAGATATTTGTCTTTTTGTGATTGGACTATTTCACATAGCATAATGTCCTCAAGGTTCATCCAATAATTACAATTTTTAAACTGATACAGGATAAAAGACCAGAATTTCATAAAATCAAATGTGAACAACACTCCAAAATCTCTTTTGAAATTTATTTTTACGTAAAAATTTGTTTTTACCTATGATGATTTTGCTAGAGTACACTGAAAATCTTCTACTTAGGAAAGCTCCTTTTGACCTAAAGAATTTTGTATTGTTGACCATCAAAAAACACTCTTAGCTAAGCCTTCATACCCAGCCACCTAAAGTTAGGCTCAATTACAAATAGAGCCAGCGATCACTAGCTTCATCAAACACATTCTTACTGTCAGAAGATGATCATTCCAATGATCAATACTTAAATGATACCAGAGCAATGAACAATGGGGTCCCACATGACAAACACCAAAAAAGACTAGAAACAAAAATCCATGTATCATCCATCTATATGTATCACAAAGTCCTCCACAATCAAAGCTCATTATGTTGGAAAACAATCCATGAACTGTCTCTCATTTTACCAATTGTTAAGCATATGTCTGTTAAGGAGATAACAGGAGAGTTTTTGAAGTTGAATATGGCAATCTTATCTATATTTTTCCTATAATAATATTAATAATGGTGCTAATAATAATAATTGTAATAGTAAAAATAATAAAAGCACTGTTTATGAACATCTACTACATTCAAAGGCATTCAACATCTCTATTCCATATACTGACACTGAAATAATATTACTATATAATATTACTATTACATTTTTAATGATAATGAAATTCAGATTCATGGAGGTTGGGCAGATTGTTGAAGGCCACAAGGTCAGAATTAGGATTCTGACTAGTTTTTCTCTGGCTCCAAATATCATGCCCTGCTCTTTCCATTACATTGTGCTACCCCAGACTCCTAATCCATGAATAATGAGAGAATACAGACAAATCACCACGAAAACATAATTTGTGATCCATTTTTGTTAATCATAATATTCTGGCAAAGTGGCAAATGATATTACTAGAAGAACCATGCATAAAATCCCCAAATGTAAAGCCTAAACAACAATTAGACTAATATAGAGAGTGATATTGGCCTTGGCAGGCCTAATTAATAAGTTTTAAATATTCTACATGAACAACCTTGTTAAAAAACAAATCACCCCTGGTTTGCAAAAGCTGGCCCAAAAAAAAAAAAAAAACCATATATATCACCCCTAGCCAGGCTAAATAAGAAAAAAAGAGAGAGTACATAAATTACTAACATCAGAAATGAAAGAGGGCGGGCCGGGCACGGTGGCTCATGCCTGTAATCCTAGCTCTCTGGGAGGCCCAGGCGGGCGGTTTGTTGAGCTCAGGAGTTCGAGACCAGCCTGAGCAAGAGTGAGACCCTGTCTCTACTAAAATTAGAAAGAAATTAATTGGACAACTAAA